TGGACAGGAGACGATGAGTTTGCCCTAAAGGGTTGAATACCACAATCACGCGTTTCCATTTGTAGCTCAGCCTCCTTTCCTTTGTCCTCTTCTTATATATAAATATATCCACAAAACGCCTTTTGCTTCGCTGTTTCTCTCTTTCATTCATCTAATCGGCGCAAGCGTTCTTCTTCTGCACTCAACCACAACAACACAGAGATTATCGATCGTCCACTTTCCTTTTTCTACGTCAATCTTTCAAAGGTAATAATAATAATCTCATCAATCTTCGAATTTGTAATACCGATTTGTAAATTTTGATTGCGTGCTATCGAATTTGTTATACCGAATTCTTACGATTTATAACATCCGCTTTCTCCGATTTGATGGATTAGCCCATGGAAAGGATTGTTAGAGATTTAGGTTGAATCGGTAGAAGGGATATTGTTGGTTTTGAATCAGGAAAGGATTGGTTTTATGTCGGCGATTGATACATCTGATTCGATTATGCGAAACTATGTTCTGTTATTGTAAATCTCCCAACCTATCTTTGTTTCGGTTTATGATTTCTTGATTTAGGACTATTCTTGTTAGATCTCTTGCTTGAGATTAGTCCTTTGTTGCCGGTTCTTGGGTATTGTTCTTCATCACTTTGAATCTGATCTCTCTTTTTTTTGGTCGATTTTTTTCCAGGAAGTTGGCAGTTTAAGCTGCTGGGATCTACAGTTTGTTCAAAGTGGAGTGTGAAGAATCTTTTATGTCTGAACAGGCTTCTCTCTTTCAATCATCTATCCGGCTTTTAGGGGAGTACTGTCCTATATCTAGGAAAAAGTCCACTCGTAAAGTTGGTTCTTTGCGTCTTGGATCTTTTGAGGAGGCCTTTAACAGTTATACAAGCGGTTCCTGTATCCAATTTACTCAGCCGTCTGATCACTGCCTCTTCTGACATCCCCCCCCCTTTCGTCTATTGTGTTGTGCTTGCTAGTCGAATCAGAATGGCTTTGCAGAACATTGGTGCTTCCAACCGCGATGATGCCTTTTACAGGTATAAGATGCCGAGGATGATGACCAAGATTGAAGGTAGAGGCAATGGTATCAAGACTAATGTTGTCAACATGGTTGAGATCGCTAAGGCCTTGGGGAGACCTGCTGCTTACACCACCAAGTATTTTGGTTGTGAGCTTGGTGCGCAGTCCAAATTCGACGAGAAGACAGGAACCTCCCTTGTGAATGGGGCACACGACACTTCCAAGCTTGCGGGGCTCCTTGAGAACTTCATCAAAAAGTATGTTCAGTGTTATGGATGTGGGAATCCTGAAACCGAGATACTCATCACGAAGACGCAGATGCTTCAGCTGAAATGCGCGGCTTGCGGGTTTATCTCAGACGTTGATATGAGGGACAAGCTCACCTCGTTTATTCTGAAGAATCCTCCAGAGCAGAAGAAATCTTCAAAGGACAAGAAGGCGATGAGGAGAGCTGAGAAAGAAAGGCTGAAGGAAGGTGAAGCGGCTGATGAGGAGATGAAGAAACTCAAGAAGGAGGCTGCTAGTAAGAAGAAAGCAACGACCACGGGTACTTCAAAAGACAAAGCTTTGAAGAAGAAAGATCATTCCCCACCTCCAAGCCAATCTGATGAAAATGAGCAAGCAGACAGTGAGGAAGATGAAGACGATGATGTCCAGTGGCAGACGGATACTTCCCGGGAGGCTGTTGAAAAACGAATGAAAGAGCAGCTCAGCGCTGTAACAGCTGACATGGTGATGCTGTCGACAATTGAAGAAAAGACCAAAGCTGTTGAGGAGAAGAAGTCACCAGAAGTTCATGAAAAGCCAGTGAAGCTGCATGAGAACGGCAATAGCAAGATCCCTGAAAATGCTCATGAAAAGCTTGTGAGTGAGATAAAGGAGCTTCTGAGCAACGGTTCTTCTCCTTCCCAACTTAAAACAGCCTTAGCTTCAAACTCGGCAATTCCACAGGAGAAGATGGATGCTCTATTCTCTGCCCTTTTTGGAGGCGAAGGCAAGGGATTTGCTAAAGAAGTAGTCAAAAAGAAGAAATATCTCGTGGCCATGATGATGATGCAAGAAGACGCGGGAGCTCCTCAGCAGATGGTTTTGCTTAACGCAATAGAATCTTTCTGTGTGAAGGCGAACGCAGAGGCTGCCAAAGAAGTTGCTCTTGTTATCAAAGGGCTTTACGATGAAGACCTTTTGGAGGAGGAAGTGATTTTTGGGTGGTACAAGAAAGGCATCAGAAGCTCCCCGGTGATGAAGAACGTGACTCCGTTCATTGAATGGCTCCAGAACGCTGAGTCCGAGTCCGAAGAAGAGTGATGCTGGTTCGAAAT